GCCTGCAGGAGGCGCTGCAGCTGCCGGTTGAGCTCTTTGGCCCGGGCCCGGTTCTCCTCGTGCGTCCTCTGGTGGCTGACCAGCTGCTTGTGGATCTTGAAGGCTTTCCCGCACTCCGAGCACTTGTGCCTGCAGCAGAGGGGGAGAGAGAGCGGAGGCCTTCAGAACCGGGGCGGAAGGAGAAAGGAAGGGGGATCTGGGCTCCCAGTCCTGCTCCTGGATCACACACACCAGGTCTTGGCTCCAGCCCCGCTCTCGGCGACACAGTTGAACCCTTAATGGGCTTAATTCAAACTGCTCAAACCTGCGAGAAGCTGCCTCTTCGGTGGCAAAATAAATCCTCAAATTCGCCAAGAAGAAAAAAAAATGGCAGATGCAATAAAACCTCAGCATTCATGGGAAGTTAGGCGTCACGAGATCTCGCTGCATGGTGAATTAGTGAACACGAGACTGAATATCTCAGGGGGAAAACAGGATGTGGCTCCACAGCTCGAGGAACAAGCATCTCCACAGTGATTGTGCTTTAACCATGAACCGTTTCAGAAATAGCTCCGCAGCATCTAAATAATTGTAGTAAGTTTGTTTTTAGTGAAAATGAGTACTGGAAACCTCAAAAAAGCTTATATATGTGCAAATAAGATCACTGTTATGATACAACAGCTTACCATGTATTAAGAGCTCATTTCCCCCCCCCATCTTTACTAGATTGCCTTTTCTTTACATCTTGTTTTACTACTGGAATTGCAGCACTGCTGTACTGTAAGAAAGTTTATCACAGCACAGAAACCACAGATCAGAAAGTGAATCAAATGTCCTCACTCACCTGAGCCACGTGCAGGCAGTGCTCTGATAACACCCACAAGCCACATCTAACGCTTTCCCTAGAGGAAACTGAACTACTGAGGCACTGCTCCAGAGACACGTGAACTCTTTGTTGACCAAGCAGTGCCTTTCCTACGCTGCAGGGCGCGTGAAGCCCATCTGAGAGCTGACGATGCTGTGGCAGTGGGCGGCCGCCTTTCCTCTCCCACCAAGAGGCAAAAGCGCGGATATCGAGGGTTTACTGCATCCTACTCGGGAAACTCGTCAGCTCAATTAAAGGCTCAATTGAGCAATTGAGGTGGGCCGTAATGGAATCCAGCAGATTTGTAAGCCTCCAAAACCAGGACTGGGAACCCCTGAACGAGACGGTTAAGTAGATATAGCAGTGACCTTTGACATGTTTAGAACAGTTAAACAGTTCCATCAAATCCTGCTTCTAACTCAACGGTGTAACAGACCAAAGACCAGGCGAGTGATCCAGGATCGGAACTGGAGAACCTCTAAGCTACCACTGCCAACATCAGTCCTGCTGGAAATGAGGTAAGGCACTGACAGCACATTGTGGCCACTACACCCCACGTCTTAAGAGGAAACTCTCAGTGAGCAGCTTTGTTTCAGAAGAGCCGGTCCTTAACCTCCAGCAGGTGTTCAGACTGAGCAATGTTTCACGATTTTCCACCCATTTTCAAGTGCTTTGTCCAGTACAGGCT